GTGGGTTTGATTTGCATTTCCTTGACAACTAAACATTGGACATCTTTTCATGTGCTTATGAGTCTTCTGTGTATGTTTTCCGGAGAAAAAAATCTATTCAGATACTTTGCCAAATATTTAATTGTCTTTTAATTATTGATATGTAGGAGCTGTTCATTTTTAAAATCCACTGACTCCTCTTAATACCCCCCCACCCTCACCATCCCTTAAGGTAGTAGATTTAGAAGTAGCCTGAATCAGGAGACACTTTGCTTCAAGAGACATGGTCTCCCTCTGTTGCCCAGGCTGGACGTAGTGCAGAGGCTACTGACAGGCCCATATTATAGCACATGATAGCCTTCAACTCCTGGCCTCAAGTGATCCTCCTGCCTCAGCCTCCCAAGTAACTGGGACTACACGTGCACACTACTAAGCACACTACTCCTTCAAGATTAAGGAATCGGCTGGGTGCGGTGACTCAAGCCTAAAATCCCAGCACTTTGGTAGGCCGAGGCGAGTGGATCACAAGGTCAGAAGTTCGAGACCAGCCTGGCCAACATAGTGAAACCTCATCTCTACTCAAACTACAAAACTCGGCCAGGCCTTGGTGGCAGGCGACTGTAATCCCAGCTACTTGGGAGGCTGAGGCAGGAGTATCGCTTGAATCCGAGAGGCAAGGGTTGCAGTGAACCAAGATCACGCCACTGCACTCCAGCCTGGGCAACAAGAGTGAAACTCCATCTCAAAAAAAAAAAACAAAAAAAAAAACCACAGTTGTATAAACTCTGAAAAACATAATCCTCACAAGTTCATCAAATATGGTTAAGTGTGCTTAGTTCAAGTAAGCTTCCCTTTATTGTATGGTAATATCCCAGACCCAGGTCCACCACATGGAACCAGCTTGTGTCTGGGACACCCAATTTGCTGCTGCTAGTAGATGCGAAAGATTTTGGTAAGCCTGGGGCGGTGCCTCACACCTGTAATCCCGGCACTTTGGGAGGCCGAGGCAGGTGGATCATGAGGTCAGGAGATGGAGACCATCTTGGCTAACACGGGGAAACCCTATCTCTACTAAAAATGCAAAATTAACCAAGTGTGATGGTACACGCCTGTAGTCCCAGCTACTTGGGAGGCTGAGGCAGAAGAATCGCTTCAACCCGGGAGGCAGAGGTTGCAGTGAGACAAGATCGCACCATTAAACTCCAGCCTGAGCAACAGAGCAAGACTCATTCCCAAAAAAAAAAAAAAAATTTTCATCTTGACATTTTTAATTTAGGTTTGGTTCTTGGTTGTGTTCAAGTTATTTATGCAAATTTGCAAGAAAAAAGAACAACCCCATCAAAAAGTGGGAGAAGGATATGAAAAGGCACTTTTCAAAAGAAGACATTTGTGTGGCCAACAAACATATGAAAAAATGCTCATCATCACTGGTCATTAGAGAAATGCAGATCAAAACCACACTGAGATACCATCTCATGCCAGATAGAATGGCGATCATTAAGAAATTAGGAGACAACAGATGCTGGAAAGGATGTGGAGAAATAAGAACACTTTTACACTGCTGGTGGGAGTGTAAATTAATTAAACCATTGTGGAAGACAGTTGAGGCGATTCCTCAAGGATTTAGAAATAGAAATACCAATTGACTCAGCAATCCCATTACTGGGTATGTACCCAAAGGATTATAAATCGTTCTATTATAAAGACTCATGCACATGTATGTTCATTGTGGCACTGTTTACAACAGCAAAGACTTAACCAACCCAAATGCCCATCAACAATAGACTGGATAAAGAAAATGTGGCACATGTACATCATGGAATACTATGCAGCCATAAAAAGGGTGAGCTCTAGGCTGGGCGTGGTGGCTCAAGCCTGTAATCCCAGCACTTTGGGAGGCCGAGGCAGGTGGATCACAAGGTCAAGAGATCAAGACCATCCTGGTCAATATGGTGAAACCCTGTCTCTACTAAAAATACAAAAAATTAGCTGGGCACGGTAGCGGGTGCCTGTAATCCCAGCTACTCAGGAGGCTGAGGCAGGAGAATTGCCTGAACCCAGGAGGCAGAGGTTGTGGTGAGCCGAGATCACACCATTGCATTCCAGCCTGGGTAAAAAGAGCGAAACTCTGTCTCAAAAAAAAAAAAAAAAAAAGGGTGAGCTCATGTCCTTTGAAGGGACATGGATTAAGCTGGAAACCATCATTCTTAGCAAACTGACACAAGAACAGAAAACCAAACACTGAATGTTCTCACTCATAAGTGGGCATTGAACAATGAGAACACATGGACACAGGGAAGGGAACATCACACACTGGGGTCTGTTGGGGGTTGAAGGGCTAGAGCAAGGATAGCAGGGGGTGGGGAGATTGGGAAGGGATAACATTAAGAGAAATACCTAATGTAGGTGATTGGGAGATGCAGGCAGCAAACCATCATGGCATGTACATACCTATGTAACAATCCTACAAGATCTGCACATATACTCCAGAACTTAACATATAATAAAAAAAATTACAGATAATGGAAATAAAAGTAGTAAGCACATACTCTAAAATAATAACAAGTATAGGATATTAAATACATAAAACATTAACATCATCATTTGTTATTTTCATTCAGCATTATGCATGATACAAATTGTATGTTCACACCCACATCAGCACAAACATGTCAGCTCTGTGGTGTCCAATAATTGTATGTTCACACCCACATCAGCACAAACATGTCAGCTCTGTGGTGTCCAATAATTGTATGTTCACACCCACATCACCAAAAACATGTCAGCTCTGTGGTGTCCAATAATCTGCCTTTTTTAAATCAACAACTGTCGTGGTAAATTCTTTTACCACCCATGCCACCATCCCAGAGAGTCACTGCTCCCTTGTGACACTGAGTGAGGAGGAGAGATTGCTGACACCACCCAGGAATATTCCCTGAGGCCAGGCTCAGGCCACAGGGAATATTATGGTGAAGCCTTTAATTTCCACACTGTAAGTCACCAGGGCACCCAGGGACAAGGCCACAGGGAGCATTTATGGATCAGGCACTTGCAAAGGTGTATCCCAGCCCACTGGAGGCCCCTCCCCACACCCACAACCCCAGGCAAGTACAGAGGATCCATACCCCTGCCCACAAACACCAGGTAATGCACGAGGGGAAGGGAGGCTACCTTGAGACCAAGCACTGCCTCACTACCTAAAAGCTCTGTCAGCATGAGGATGACCCAGAGATTGGCTGGACTGGCCATTTAGTCCGTATCTTTGGCCCTTGGAGTTACGAACACTGATGGAACTGTTCAAATAAGATGTTAACTGTGGGTTTTCTGCCTGCATAACTGGTGGAAGCTAGGATGGCAAACTCATTTTCAGTCAAATAAAGCAACACGCGTTAACTTAGTTACCACCACGCATGCATCCTTCTGCTGCCACTAGGAGGCCACTTCCTCCTCTACATAAGAGAAGAGTTTTAAAGTAGAATAGAAATTATTGCTATTTATGGAGATGCCATTAATAAATTTTATAATTGCCCTGTTTTTTCCAAGTATGACATATAAACAGTTAAATCAATTCAAGATAATTAAATCAGATGGAATAATTTTTATATAAATTATCTGCTGAGTAGACTACTACATAAGTCTTCCCCAACCCACAGGTAGTCTTACACAGACGGGGCGTATTTTAAATTACTGAGCTTGATATCAAACAATATAAAGGCTGTTAAGAATGCTGAGATGGGACTGGGTGCAGTGGCTCATGCCTGTAATCCCAGCACTTCGGGAGGCCAAGGCAGGAGGATCATTTGAGGTCAGGAGTTCCAAACCAGCCTGGCCAACATGATGAAACTCTGTCTCTACTAAAAATATAAAAACTTAGCTGGGGGTGGTGATATGCGTCTCTAATCCCAGCTACTTGGGAGGCTGAGGCAGGAGAATTGCTTGAACCCAGGAGGTGGACGGTGCAGTGAGCCGAGATCTTGTCACTGCATTCCAGTCTGGGCCACAGAGGGAGACTTCTCTTTTTAAAATGAATGGTTCCTTTCTTAACTAACCTGCTGGTCTATATTAGTTAATGAAATGAGACTTGGTTTATACTCTTTAAATCTGAACACAAAATTGTAGTCGTCTTCTACTTATTAACTGATATGAAAATAACAGCAGAATCAGAATGAAAGCCATCTTAAAAGAGAGTTATCCAAATGAAATGTTTTATTAGCCTTTGATTTATCTTTTATCTAGAAATAAAATGAATGCTTATTATTTTAAAAGACCCAATTGCTTCCGGCTACTTTATTATTCAATTTTAACTTCAATTTTTATAGCCCAGGAGACATACTTTTGAAAATATTCTTTGCCAGCTGCGGTGGCTCAGCACCTGTAATCTCACCTACTCAGGAGGCTGAGGCATGAGAATCCCCTGAACCCAGGAGATGGATGTTGTAGTGAGCCAAGATCATGCCATGCACTCCAGCCTGGGCAACAGAGGGAGAGACTGTCTCAAAAAAAAAAAAAAAAAAAAAGAGTAAAAACCCTTTAATTCCATGCATTGTCCTTTATATATTATCTTGTAGAAACAGAAAAAAATGTATACATTATTCTACTTTTGATTAATATGCTCTCCCTTATGTTATAGTGAACCCCAAGTTTTTCCTCAGACAAACAGTATGTCAGTATGTTCAGCTCTCTTATTCTTTAAATCTCTATTTTAATGTTTAACTTCCTTGTAATTCCAGTAAACAACCTTCTCCACCGGTTCATCAGTAGTTCACATCTGCTCCCCCACCCTCCATCCTGACTCATCCTGGCACCCGATCACCTCGGCTACCTGCTCTGACACATCCTTAACCATCCTTCCTACAAAAACACCCACCCTGCCATTCCAGCTGGAACCCCTGATCTTTTTAAAAGAGGCAATCGAGATTCTCTAGCTAGTGCAGTCTAACCTTAACCACAGGGGATGACACAGCAGCAGGGATGACCCCCATCAGCCATAAGTACCCCTTCCCCCCGCCCACCCTGTGCAAGCATGCGGTGGCCATCATTGCTCCATCGGTGCGCCCTGCACCCTTCTATAGAAGTAAACTGTCTTGCTTAGAGGACGTATCTTCGAGTGCTATTTCTTTTGCGACATTGAAATTTTACTTATAACACTTATATCATGCAGTCTACTTCTTAATCAATCTCCATAATCAACTGCGTATTTCTTCACAGACAGAGGCGAAGACTGTCTCAAAAAAAATTGCTTAAATTTGAAGCAATTGTCTTTTAAGTAATCCTTTTGTCATGAGTAACGTGATTCATCTCTGCCGTCAGGCGTTGGGGTCACTGAGGGAGGAAGTTGTGTGTGTGTTTTGTTTGCTGGCTGCATCATCTGTCCTGGCAGTGGAGGGAGCAGCCCTCAGGGCACAGAGAGAAATCATCACTGCACTCAGACTGCGCCTACTCTAGTAAAGAACAAGTCTGAGAGCTTGCACACTAGTGAGGGGATCAGTTCCTCACTCTGCTCACATTAAGGACAAGGCTGTGACCATCAGCTGGGGCAGATGGAACATAGCTCAACAGCAGGTTTTTAAAAAGAGAGCAAAGTTGAGGCCGGGCGTGGTGGCTCAAGCCTGTAATCCCAGCACTTTGGGAGGCCGAGGCGGGTGGATCACGAGGTCAAGAGATCGAGACCATCCTGGTCAATATGGTGAAACCCCATCTCTACTAAAAATACAAAAAATTAGCTGGGCACGGTAGCACGTGCCTGTAATCCCAGCTACTCAGGAGGCTGAGGCAGGAGAATTGCTTGAACCCAGGAGGCGGAGGTTGCGGTGAGCCGAGATTGCGCCATTGCACTCCAGCCTGGGTAACAAAAGCGAAACCCTGTCAAAAAAAAAAAAAGAGAGCAAAGTCTTCTTTCTTCCATGTGAAAAACAATTATAATATGGTTCAGCTGACCAACAAGGACTGGGTTATAACCCACTATTCTCTGAAACTCAATACTGTCTTTGAACTTTTTGGAATCTCATAACCTTTTCTGTCTAAATGTATGCTGTTACTCTCGTGGCTAAAAGTTGCAGGGAGCAGTCTCTTTCTCTGACTTGTGTTTCCAATTCTTTCTGGTTTCCTATACTACGACACTGTGTTAAACAGAATTTGCAAATCTTTCAGTTAGGCTGCACTCGCTGTTACACATTGGTTTTTATCATTTACAAGAACACCCTGGGAGTGCACTAAAATTCATCGCATTTTCTGTTTAAAAAATAAGAAGTCACAATTTTATGAACCATCATCTGTTTGAAAGCCATGCTACTTTTAATAGTTACTGCGCTGCTCAACATATTTTAACTGCCCATTCATGTGTCTTCTCTAACATTTGCAGGTTTGTGCCATTATACACAAGGGGTAAAAGAAATGATCAAGAGAATCAATATACGAATGGCTTAAAAAACAATAAAGATCCCAGCAGCTGTTTAGGACAAAACAGAGCTGGGTGAGCCCAAGTACTAAAGCAGGCATCATTAACATGCCACAAGGTGATTTGCTCCAGATGGTTTTTAAATATCAAAAAAATGTACGATTTATGTATAAGCAAAAGGAAAATAATTAACTATTTTTTTTGAGACAGGGTCTCACTCTGTCGCTCATGCTGGAGTGCAGCGATGCAATAATGGCTCAATGCAGCCTTGAATTCTCAGGCTCAAGAGATCCTCCCTCCTCAGCCTTCTGAGTAGCTGGGACTGCCCAAATGCACACCTGTAAAGGAGGTGAAAACTTATTTATATTTCAATGTAATTATTCGTGAAGAAGAAAAAAACTAAAGGCACTAGGAATGTAATGCCTAAATTACAGTAAAGTATGTTTTCACGGAAAATCACCGGCAGCCAGAAAGAATGTCTGTGTGCAAAATATTTAGGTCCTGTTTTGCAAGAGTAGCGGAACACTGGACACAGCTCACCTCAACCCACAGGCAAGGCAGGACCCAAGCTATAGCCTTAAATGTATTCATTTGCTAAAAGAAAATGAACAGTTCTTTCTCTTCTTCCCATAAACTTATATTTTGTTTTATCATTAAATAATTTCCAGCCAGATGCGGTGGCTCATGTCTGTAATTGCAGCACTTTGGGAGGCCGAGGTAGGCAAATCACAAGGTCAGGAGTTCGAGATCAGCCTGGCCAAAGAGGCCAGCCTGGTCAACATGGTGAAACCCCATCTCTACTTAAAATACAAAAATTAGCCAGACATCTAATACCAGTGCCTGTAATCCCAGCTACTTGGGAGGCTGAGGCAGGAGAATTGCTTGAACCCAGGAGGCGGAGGCTGCAGTGAGCCAAGATCATGCCACTGCACTCCAGCCTGGGCAACAGAGCAAGACTCCAACTCAACTAATAATAACAATAATAATGATCATGATCATCATCTCCATATCTGAGCCCTGATTAATATATCATTTGTGAACTTAATGTCTGCTTTGATTTCAGTTTTCCTGAATTGTTAGAAAAATAAAAGTTTCTTACATTAGGCCTGACTGTCCAGTGAGGTAGTTGGTGTGGAAGCGTTTTTCATGGAAGGTCCTGCTGGTCTCACAGGTAGCATTTAGGATGACATGTGTGCTCAGACAAGAGCGGTTTCTACCTTCTCTCTCACTGGGAAATTATGAATATGACAAGGAGCTTCTTCCAGCATAGCCAGTGCTTCCTGCATTTGCAGTATAGGGCCTCTGACCCCTGTCATGGGGAAACATTCTTTCTTCTGCTTTCCTAAAATTGTCTCCAACACAAGGGATTTGACAGCACTGAATCACTGAATTCTGCCAACAATGCCATTGACAGCGAAACCAGAATAAGACATCACAACACAGTAATGGACCAATAGCCTTCATGAACATACAAGTAAAAATACTTAGCAAGTTATTAGCAAAACAAATACAGACATATTTCAAGAAGATAATATTGCATGTGACCAAGGGGTAGGTTTACTATTGGAAACATCAGTGTACTTCATCATATTAACAGAATAAAGTATAAAAATTGTATGATCCTCTCAAAACAGAGGAAGAAAAAGTTATCTGACTATCTGTTGCCCAGGTTGGAGTGCAGTGGCCGGATCTCGGCTCACTGACACCTTGGCGTCCCGGGTTCATGGGATTCTCCTGTCCCAATCTTCCAAGTAGCTGGGATTACAGGTGCCTGCCACCACACCCAGCTAATTTTTTATATTTTTAGTAGAGATGGGGTTTCACCATGTTGGCCAGGCTGACGTCAAACTGCTGACACTCAGGTGATCTGCCTGCCTCAGCCTCCCAAAGTGCTGGGATTACAGGCATGAGCCACAGTGCCCAGCCAAGTAATTACTTTTAATGGCAAAAACCTGCAATTACTTTTGTACCAGCCTAATACATGGTTAAGATAAGCTGAAAAAAAAAAATCTAAATAAATGAAGATGCCATATTCACGGATTAAAACATTCATTAATTAATGTTAACATATCAATTATCTCCAAATTGATCTAGCGTTTCAACAATCTCAATCAAAATTTCATGAAGCTTTTTTGAAGCAATCATTAACCTGATTTAAAAATTTACATGGAAATGCAAAAAATCTAGAATAACCAGAACAATTCTTTGGGGGGAAAAAAAAAACAAAGTTGGTGGATTCATACTTTCTGATGGTCAAGATAGTTACCAAGATGGTCATATAGATCAGGAGTTGGAAAACTTTTTCTGTAAAGAGCCTGACAGTAAATATTTTAGGCTTTGCAAGCCACATATACTCTGTTGCATTTTTCTTTGCTTTGGTTTTCTTTTTTGAGAAAGGGTCTCACTCTGTTGCCCAAGCTGTCGTGCAGTGGCATGATCTTGGCTCACTGGAACCTCAATCTCCTGGACTTGAGTGATCTGCTCACTTCAGCCTCCTGAGTAGCTAAGACTACAGGTGCATGTCACCATGTCAGGCTAATTTTTGTTTTTTGGTTTTTTTTTTGTAGAAATGGAGTTTCACCATGTCACCCAGGCTGGTCTCATACTCCTGGGCTCAAGGGACCCACCCACCTCAACCTACCAAAGTGCTAGGATTACAGATGTGCAACACCATACCTGGGGCACTTTTGTTTTTTAATCTTTAAAAATGTAAAAACTGTAGCTGGGCATGATAGTATGCACCTGTTGTCCCATCTACTGAGGAGGCTGAGGCAGGAAGATCACTTGAGCCCAGGAGTTCCACCCTGCAGTGAGCAATTATTGTGCCACTGCATTCCAGCCTGGGTAAGAGTGGGACCCTGTCTAAGAAAATGAAATGGCAAGCCATAAACAGGGAGAAAATATTCTCAATGCATACATCTGCCAAAGGACTTATATCAAAAATATATATATGAAGAATGCTTACAACTTAATAAGATAATAAACAACCCAACTTAAAATGGGTGTTTTCATTTAAGCAAACACTTCCTAAAGGAAGATACACGATAAGCATCGTGGAAAGATGCTCAACATTATTAGTCATCAACGAAATGCCAATTAAAACTACAATGAAATGCCACTACACAGCCACCGGAATGTCTAAGACTAATCATATCCAGTGTTGCTGAAGAAATGGGAAAAAGAATTCTCACATGCTGCTGGTGAAATGTAAAATGGTATAACCACTTTGGAAAACAGTTTGACAGTTTCTTAAAAGGTTCAACATATACCTATCATATACTCAGAAATTCCTCTCATCAATATCTACCCAAGAGAAATGGAAACAGGCCCACACAAAGACATGTACACAAATGTTCACGGCAGCTTGCTTTATAATAACAGCCCCAAACTGGAAACTACTCCATGCCATTGATATGTGAATGGATAAACACATTTCAGCACTTAGCAACAAAAAAGAACAAACTACTTCTATATAGAACATGTATGAATCTCACTGACATAACACTGAGTGAAAGAAGCCAGATATAAAAAAGCATATACTGTATGATTTCATTTATATAAAAGTCTAGAAAACCTATACAGTGACAGAAAACAGACAAGTGGTTGGCTGTGAGCGGGTATGTGAGAAAGAATAATGGGAAGCAGCACACAGGTATTTTTTAGGATAGAAATGTTCTATATTTTGAAACTGGTCTGGTTGTGGTTACATGAGTGTATACATGTGTCAAAACTCAATGAAGTTGATTTTTTTAAACTACGAAATAATTCTATTATAATTCCTTGGAATTATATAAGCAAGGCACTGAGAGGCTAAGTAACTTATCTAGCCAAGATTCAAATGATCATAGTTTTACTCTAAGGCCCACATCATTAGCCATATAGATATATTTTCTATAAAAGCAGAATATATCTATAATCTATTTTCTCCTGGACACTATACACGTATTTATAAATAGGTAATACTTTTATAATCAGAAAAAGCATATGTATTTTAAAAAGACAGAGACCCTTCAGGACCTCCCTCCAAGATCACATTCAATCTATTAATCAGAAGATGTTGGATATATTTGTGAATCTTTATGAAGTCATTCACCTCTGTTGTCTTCCAATACACATTTCTTCATCCTGTTCACAAATGTAAGATGTAAAACTTGGTCAAAAGTCTTCCAGAAAAACTGTATATAGAGATACTATAATTACATCATTTCCCTGATCTACCTATCAAGTAACTCTGTAAAGAAAATATTTGTAATACATTCATGCAAATTCTTAAAGATCACCACTTCTTATTTATTTATTTTTCATGAAAAATAGGTTTTTTTTTTTGAGACAGAGTTTCACTCTTGTTACCCAGGCTGGAGTGCAATGGCACGATCTTGGCTCACTGCAACCTCCGCCTCCTGGGTTCAGGAAATTCTCCTGTCTCAGCCTCCTGAGTAGCTGGGATTACAGGCACGTGCCACCATGCCCAGCTAATTTTTTGTATTTTTAGTAGAGACGGGGTTTTACCATGTTGACCAGGATGGTCTCGATCTCTTGACCTCGTGATCCACCCGCCTCGGCCTCCCAAAGTGCTGGGATTACAGGCTTGAACCACCGCGCCCGGCCTGAGGTTTTTCATTTTACCAAAAATTGCACCAACGTAAAGCTAAGCTCCAGTTGATACATACATGTTGTGTAGGCATTAGCAGTATTGCCCTCACTATGTACTCACTGGACTGCAGCACAACCCCAAGAAAAGCACGGTTATACCACCTCTTTTGTGTTCACAAACCATCCCTTTTTTTTTTTTTTTTTTTTTTGAGACGGAGTTTCGCTCTCGTTACCCAGGCTGGAGTGCAATGGCGTGATCTCAGCTCACTGCAACCTCCGCCTCCTGGGTTCAGGCAATTCTCCTGCCTCAGCCTCCTGAGTAGCTGGGATTACAGGCACGCACCACCATGCCCAGCTAATTTTTTTTTTTTGTATCTTTAGTAGAGACGGGGTTTCACCATGTTGCCCAGGATGGTCTTGATATCTTGACCTCGTGATCCACCCACCTTGGCCTCCCAAAGTGCTGGGATTACAGGCTTGAGCCACCGCGCCCGGCCACAAACCATCCTTTTAATAATGTGGTCTAGGCCGGGCGCAGTGGCTCACGCCTGTAATCCCAGCACTTTGGGAGGTCAAGGTGGGAGGACCATTTGAGGTCAGGAGTTCAAGACCAGCCTGACCAACATGGTAAAACCCCATCTCTACTAAAAATACAATAATTAGCTGGGCTTGGTGGTGCATGCCTGTAATCCCAGCTACATGGGAGGCTGAGGCAGGAGAATCACTTGAACCTGGAAGGTGGAGGTTGCAGTGAGCCAAGATCATGCCGCTGCACTCCAGCCTGGGCATGACTGAGGGAGACTCCACTTCAAAAAAAAATTTTTTTTCATATAATGGTACTAAATTTGAGGCAGAGCTCTATCCCTCTAATTTCTACCACATTATTTAAATTCTTTGAGCTCTACCTCCTTCATCTGAAAACTAAGAAAAAATCAACTATCTCATGCCATTGTGAAGATTAAATGGAATATTACATATAGGCACTGTTTGTATATATAAAGATACACTATATATGAGAAGGTGCGTGTAGGTTCTATACTAATACTATGCCATTGAGGACTTGGGCACCTGAGGATTTTGGTATCCTCATGGGAAGTCCAAGAGGAACCAATCCCCCTCAGATACCAAGGGACAATTGTATATGGTAAATATATATTTGTTTTCTTTTTTGCTCTACTCAGTTATTTTAATCACTATTTCAAAGAATGAACCACATATGCCATCACTGAATAACTTTGAGAAAGCAAGTGATTTTTCTCTTTTTTTTGGAGACAAAGTCTCGCTCTGTTGCCCAAGCTGGAGTGCAGTGGTGTGATCTCAGCTCACCACAACCTCCACCTCCAGGGTTGAGGCGATTCTCTTGCCTCAGCCTCCCGGGTTGCAGGGACTATAGGCACACACCACTACGCCCAGATAATTTTTTCATGTTTAGTAGAGACGGGGTTTCACTACATTGGCCAGGCTTGTCTTGAGCTCCTGACTTCGTGATCTGCCCACCTTGGCCTCCCAAAGTGCTAGGATTACAGGTGTGAGCCACTGCGCCTGGCCTGATTTTTCAGTTTATACATATTTCAACTACGACTTTTTGTACACAATTATATGAGACATTATTTTAATAGGAATAGAAATAATGGGCAACTTACCTGTGGAAACCATCTTTCAAAGCTTCTTGTCTCAAAGTAATTTCATAACACGTGGCCCTTATGCCTATAAGAACCAAAGATGTTTTTTAAAAAACAAAAGCACTCAATAAAATAATATTTAAATAATTAGAAAAGTTATTTGAGTAGGCTTTACTTGCCTAGAAAATCTATCCAACCTAACAAAAACTTACAAAATTTAAGCAATTTGAGATATATAAAAATCTACTTCTAATATAGCACAGTGGTTAAGCACAATGACTCTGGAGTTAGAGTGCCTAATTTCAAATCTCAGTCTGTAACTTAACAGCTGTGTCAACTTTGGGCAAGATAGTTTCTCTCTCTATTACCTCTCATGAGAATTTAATATATGTAGAAACACTTGGAACAGACCCTACTGACCACATAGTAAGCATTCTATGTAAGTGTTTGTTATTAATATTGCTTTATTCAGGTGATCCCAAGATGCCAAAAAGGAACAGGATGGCTAAACAGCCAGGAAATCGCCATTTTAATCCTAGTTCACGGAAACTGTGTATCAGATAGATAATGGCAACTTCTATATTCTAACATCCATGCCTACAAAACCAGGAAGATTTATGCTTTGTGGAGATGTTGGAAGGTTTAAGGAAAAAAAAAAAAAAAAAGCAAAGCTGGAGGCACTTAAAGGTTCAATGGGTTCCACTATAAACTTAGAATAACCAGAAATCTCAGCATACTGAATTCATCAAGAATCCAGACATTAAAGCTATTACTGAGCCAGGTGTGCTAGCTCACACCTGAGGTGGGAATATTGCTTGAACCCAGGGGATGGAGGCTGCAGTGAGCTATGGTTGCACCACTGCACTCAAGCCTGGGTGACAGAGAGAGAGAGACCTTGTCTCTAAAGACAAAAAAAAACCACTATTACTCAATGTAAGCATCTTAAAACTAAAAATTCAGTTACTACTGGCCAGCAACTCTGCCAGGCATTTGCTATGGAACTTTGTCCCCTTTCAAAAGCTGTAAATCTGTGGGAAGAACATTAAAAAAACACACAAGCCTGGACAACACAGCGAAACTCCATCTCCATGAAGAAAAATAAAAAAATTAGCTACTGAGGAGGCTAGGTGAGAGGATGGCTTAGGCCAGGAGGCGGAGGGAGGCCGCAGTCAGCCAATATTGCACCACTGTACTCCAGCCTGGGTGACAAAGCCAGACCTTGTCTCAAAAACAAACAAACAAACAAAACACCCCCCACACACAGAAAACTAGATATTATTTAGGATAATAATAATCCTATTATTATCATTTAATATTGCTGAATCCATCGGATGTGCTTCTGAAAAGATGCATTAAGAAAAATGATGTGGGGCCAGGCGCAGTGGCTCACACCTGTAATCCCAGCACTTTGGGAAGCTGAGGCCAGCAGATATCAAGGTCAGGAGTTTGAGACCAGCCTAACCAACATGGTGAAACCCCATCTCTACTAAAAATACAAAAATTAGCCAGGCGTGGCTTGTGCCTGTAATCCCAGCTACTCAGGAGGCTGAGGCAGGAGAATTGCTTGAACCTGGGAGGGGTAGGTTGCAGTGGGCCGAGATCGCACTACTGCACTCCAGCCCTGGCGACAGAATGAGACTCTGTCTCAAAAAAAAAAAAAAAGAAAAAGAAAAGAAAAGAAAAATGATGTGAAGGTGAAACTATCTGAAGGAATGAAAAAAGAATAGGAAAAAATAACATTTGTTAAATAATATGTAGCATGCCAGATCCTCTACTTGGTGCTTTCATGTGTGTTTTAACTTTCACAATCTAGTAAAGTAAGCAAAATGACTGCTATTTGTTTGCAGGAGGAAACTTGTACTTATAAAGCATCGGTAACTGACCCTGGGTCATACAACTAACTACGTGATGCATTAGAAGCAAGGTTTGCCTGACTTTTAAAGCCTAAGATACTTCCACTCTCAACAATAAAATAGAAAGAAATTTTAGTGTTATAGCTCTTTTAGAATTTATCTAGTTATGTTTGACTGGAAAACCTCCAACTCTCAAAAAAGAAATTGTATTTGCTTTGGAGAAGTATATGATCTTTTCCCAAAAAAACAAAACCCCACACCCTGTATGCATCTTGTACTAATCCAGATTTTTCCTTGTTCTTTTTTTTTATGAGACAGAATCTCGCTCTTTTACCAGGCTGGAGTGCAGTGGCTCAATCTCAGCTCACTATAACCTTTGCCTCCCAGGTTCAAGTGATACTCCTGCCTCAGCCTCCCAAGTAGCTGGGACTACAGGTGCGTGTCACATGCAGCTAATTTTTGTATTTTTAGTAGTGACAGAGTTTCACCATGTCAGCCAGGATGGTCTTGTCTCTCAACCTTTGTGATCTGCCCGCCTCAGCCTCCCAAAGTGCTGGGATTACAGACATGAGTCACGGTGCCCGGCCTCTTTGTTCTTTTTTAATTTTTTTTTTTAGAGACAAAGCCTTCCTCTGTCACCCAAGCTGAGCACAGTGGCATGATCGCAGCTCACTGCAGCCTTGAATTTAGCAATCCTCTTGCATCAGCCTCCCAAGTAGCTAGGACTACAGGCCCATGCCACCACACATGGCTACTTTTAAATTTTTTTGTAGAGACAGGGTCTTGCTATGTTTTCCAGGCTGGTCTCGAACTCTTGGTCTCAAGCAATCCTCCCACCAGAGCCTCCTGAAGTGTTAGAATTACAGGTATGCGACTGGACGCGGTGGCTCATGAGATAATCCCAGCACTTTGGGAGGCTGAGGCAGGCAGAAGTCAGGAGTTTGAGACCAGCCCAACCAACATGGAGAAACCCCGTCTCTACTAAAAATACAAAAAATTAACCAGGCATGATGGCACGCGCCTATAATCCCAGCTACTCCGGAGGCTGAAGCAGGAGAATTGCTTGAACCTGGTAGGCCGAGGTTGCAGTGAGCAGAGATCACGAATTGCACTCCAGCCTGAGCAACAGGAGCGAAACTCTGTCTCAGAAAAAAAAAAGAATTACAGGTGTGAGCCACTGTGCCCAGCACAAAGCCAGATTTTTCTTCATCGTGTTTAATTTTAATGGGGGTAGGGTGGGAAATGAGGGCTAATATCTACTTATAAATTAAATTAGAAGAAAAATGATTATCAGGCTTAAATCCTATGGGTATGTACACTAGACAGCAGTTGATCATTGGGATTGGAGAAAGGCTAATTTACAAACAGTATGGCAAAACTATTATTATGATTTTAGAGGCAAAAGTACCATTTTGAAAATGAATTTGTTGGACATGAATTTACCTTCAACATTTGTCCTCTTAAATATTACTTTGGTTGTGGTGAGCTGGCTCTGGAAATCCTTTGTAATTTTTTTTTTTTTTTTTTTGAGACGGAGTCTCACTCTGTCACCCAGACTGGAGTGCAATGGCGTGATCTAGGCTCATTGCAACCTCTGCCTCCCGAGTTCAACCGATTCTCCAGCCTTAGCCTCCAGAGTACAAGTACAGGCCATCATGCCCGGCTAATTTTGACCCCTTTTTAATTATAAAATGCTAATGTTGGAAACCTCTAGAGATCACCGAATCGAACTGTTTCAAAATTCTTCTTGGCCTCAAAATCCTTTCTTTAGATAAACTTGGAAACCCAATATGTAAATACACAAAAGCAGAGCTTCGCTGATTGACAAATAAATGGATCTAAATGGTACGAAGGATGACAGAAACATCCTCATTTTACAGATAGAGAAACTTGCCAGGTTTGTGCTTTCCTTCCCCCGTCAAACCTTACTACTTTATTGTAATTACTCCTGCACTTGTCCAGCAGTAGTACAAGCAGTTTGCCAACTACTCTTGCACGAACAACTAGCAGTTTGCCACGGAGTCCCTATATTCAATTTGGGGACTCTCATGCCTCACAGGGCGCTAAGGCCTTGCTGCTCCCTTGGTGATCAGAAGCTTCGTGCAACCCAAGAGCATGTCAAGACGCTTGATGGCTGACCTTCCTTCTCAGTACTTTAGCAACAGGGCGGCCAGTCCAGCCTGGGAACCGCAGAGCCCGAGCCCGACTCTCCAGAGACCCGGGATCCGCCGCAGAGCAAAGCGCACGAGAGGGCAGGGGGACGTAGGAGGAGGGCACGTGGCTCTGGTGTTTGACCTCCTCCGGCTCGCCCTATCGATCTAGGTTCCGCGCCGGGTCCGCACGTCCCAGCAACCCGCGGAGAGGCAGGGGAGTCGGGACCGCTCACCACGCTCTGGCCCTCAAGCCCCGCCCGCACTCCGCAGCCCGGCCCCCGCTTACCAGCGTCAGAGCTTGCGGCGGTGAAGGCAGCGGCGGGCCCGCGCGTGAGCCAGGTCGCCGCCCCGAGGAGCAGCCAGGCGACCGACCGCCCGAACCGCCGCCACCCAAGCCGTCAGGACGCCGGAGGCCGGACGCCCGAGAGTGGCGCGCGGAGCCAGCTGCAGGCACAGAAAGGGGCGTGCACTGGCCGCCTGCCACTCCTACAGCGCGCTACCGCGGATTTCGCGGCCGGGACCCAGTGCTGGGTGCGCGCGCGTAATTCCCGCGGATCTTCGCTGCCTGCAGCCCCGGTCCCCAAACGTTCCCGCGCGGCGTGAGGCGTCCGTTCCCGCCCCTCCGTTCCCCTCCGCCCTCCCGAGGGCGGGCGAGGAGCTGCGCACGCGCAGGGATGCGCGCCCGGCCTGTTGCCGTGGAAACAGCTCGGCCAGCGCCCGGCGGGACCTGGGATCCCCGCACGCAGCGGTGGGAGCCGGCGGACCGCGCCCCCGGCCGGCCCTCACCTCCGCTTCCCGGTATTTCCGGGTTCGGGTCTCCAGTTGGGGAGTTAATCCCTCGGGCTCGTCAGTAGTGCTGTGGCTGTCGCCTCTTCCTGCAGCGCCAGGCTCCGCCCGCCCTCAAAGTCGGCTTAGGTGCTTTCTGTGCACTGCGGTTGGGTGGAAAAATACCCACTCCTGGCTGTTTAGACGTTGGCCTGCAGAAGATGTCATTTCTGTATTTCTCTATGGGTAACAAAGCCAATCTTGCACCAGTGGAGACGTGAGTAAGAGAGAATCGTCTACCCTTTGGGGACATCCATACGCCTTAGGTGCTGTGGGGCTACCTAACAAAATTGTGAGCAGTTACTGACCTCTGGGGAGAAGAGTATTCAGGAAGAATAATCCAGTAAACGTGCCGTCCTCCTTCCTAAACAGAGTGGAATCTGTAAGCAGGCCTAGAGAGCATCCAGGTGGCTTGGAGTGGAACAGAGGGCTCTAGGACGGGTGTCGCAAAGAGGAAAGAGTGTAAGTCAAAAGATAACGATCTAAAACTAGCCGGGCAAGGTGGCTTACGCCTGTGGTCCCAGCACTTTGGCCAGATAACCTGAGGTCAGGAGCTCAAGACCAGCATGAACAACATGGCGAAACCCCATCTCTACTAAAAATACAAAAATTAGCCAGGTCTGGTGGCAGGCATCTGTAATCTCACTACTTAGAAGGCTGAGGCACGAGAATCGAGAATCGCTTGAACCTGGGAGGCAGAGATTGCAGTGGGCCGAGATCGCACCACTGCACTCCACCTGGGGGAAAGAGCAACACTCTGTCTCAAAAAGAAAAAAAACAAAAACACTGAAAATGGTAGCATGTGCATGTTTTTTAAGAAATGGAGAGGTAAATTTTGGAAGACATGCCTTTTAAAATTCAGTCTGGGTCCCTATCCCACTAAATTCTGAAAAGGATAGGGCAGACTGTAGTTTTTTGTTAAAAGCCTTATGGAATTATTTTATATTCCAAATATAAACATCATTTTAGCAAAAATTAAAGTAAAATTTTTAAAAAGAAAAGAGTCTAGTAAAACTACATTATTTGAATGCCAATTGCGTACATCTTTGATGAGGACAATCATTTGCTTCAGTGTGTAGAGTTTATATTGTGGTCAGTAGGTTCAAGTTTACTAACATCAAATTTTAGGTGAATTGGGAGTAGTATTCATTTAAAAATCCAGAAAAGGAAAAGGAGGAGAAAATGGTGTGAGATCATTGCATCAGATTAGAAGTAGAGCACAGTAATTTTTTAAAACAGGTTTTTGTGACCGGGCACAGTGACTCACATGTTTGTAGTCTCACCTACTCGGGAGGCTGAGGCAAGGAGAATCGCTTGAACATGGGAGGTAGAGTTTGCAGTGAATTGAGATCCCACCACTGCACTCAGCCTGGCGACAGAGCAAGACTCCGTCTCACCCCGCCCCCAAACCCCCAAAAAAAAGAAAGAAAAAAGACACAATCAAGGGTGATTGTTTTCTGTCTGTTTCCCCTCTCCTTTGCCCCATTATTCTACAATGAATGTGTATAATCACTGCTAAGTGTTTTATAAAAAGTATGTTCCTTAGATATAGACACTAGGTTTTTGAGTGGAAAAAAAAAATGTTCCTAATAGTGATTCTCCAACAGAACTGAGTTCACGGAGATATCATCATCCTATGCCACTTTACCTCAATGTTTCTTGACATTGATGAATCTTTCTGAGAATGTCATAGTCACATCTAAAGCAGTGCTTATGATTAAGTGGATTTGGGCATTGAGGGTGGGGAGAGGAAGAGAGAATGCTAAGTATTAATCTACAAATAGCTATATTTCTTTTTTTTTTTTTTTTTTTTGAGACGGAGTTTCGCTCTTGTTACCCAGGCTGGAGTGCAATGGCGTGATCTTGGCTCACCACAACCTCCGCCTCCTGGGTTCAGGCAGTTCTCCTGCCTCAGCCTCCCGAGTAGCTGGGATTACAGGCACGCGCCACCATGCCCAGCTAATTTTTTGTATTTTTAGTAGAGACGGGGTTTCACCATGTTGACCAGGATGGTCTCGATCTCTTGACCTTGTGATCCACCTGCCTCGGCCTCCCAAAGTGCTGGGATTACAGGCTTGAGCCACCATGCCCGGCCAAATAGCTATATTTCTTGTAGCTAGAAAAATATCATATAGTGAGACAAATAAGCCAAAATAAAAGCCATGGAAACGTTACTGACTTGTATATGAAGAAGCTGATTCTGCATCAGGTCTGCTTTTCAATCAGGCTTCTAGAATGTAAGTGTTTACGAAAGTGTTCAGGGACCATCATGTTAATTCATAGCATTAAACAATGCGTGGAATGCCTACTATGTTCCAGGTATTATGCTGAGATATTGTGGTGAAAAAGAATATGCCCTCCACCATCATGTACCATATTGACTAGAAGGGAAGATATATGATTAAATAAGTAATAATGAAAAACTCTAGTAAATTAGTTAGGAAAGTACAAAGGAGACAGCTCTGGACTGGTGAACCCCTCAGGACAAAATGATTAAGGTTTAAAAGCTCATATTACCTTGATAAAGAGGATGCTTGATACATGACTTAGGGATTCATATTCAGTCTTTGACTAAGAGATTCAAACTGGATTGCATCCCCAGATTCACATACGAACAAGTCTATATTCTTGAGGGAACCAGAGTCTTAGGAGTCCAACAGATTGAAACTAACCCAGGGCCAAACTGAACTTTCCTGGCAGCTCTCAAAATAACTAGCTTTGTGCTCCTTTCAGGGCACAGACACCAAAATTGGAATGATACAGAGAGGATTAGCATGGCCCGCGTGCAAGGATGGCACACAAATTCAGGAAGCATTCCATACTTTAATTGAAAAAAGAAAAAAGTCCGGGCGTGGTGGCTCACGCCTATAATCCCAGCCACTCAGGAGGCTAAGGCAGGAGAATCACTTGAACCCAGGAGGCAGAGCTTGTAATAAGCTGAGATTGCACCATTGCACTCTAGCCTGGGTGACAGAGTGCAACTCCATCTCAAGACAAAAGAAAAGAAAAAAATATTAAGCTTCACAGGCTGAGCATGTGTTGCCAGAACTGGACTAGAACCAGATCTTCTGGGGAAAAGGGGTGAGGGAAATGAATGACATTTATCCAACACCTAGTTGTTTTTTCTCTTTAGCAGGAAGTCATTACACAACTTACACATTGTCATCAGATTTCCCCTGACGTGTATTTGGGAATGATGTGCACTGCCAAGAAATGTGGGATTAGATTTCAGCCTCCAGCTATTATCTTAATCTATGAGAATGAAATCAAGGGGAAAATTCGCCAGCGCATTATGCCAGTTCGAAACTTTTCAAAGTTTTCAGGTAACTCATGTCTTATCTTGCCTCCTGTCTTAAATATTCTCTAAATACCGGTTCCGGACTGGATGTGTGACACTGCATTAATTACTTACTGTCAATGAGCTTCGGTTTCCTAATCTATAAAAGGGAATTGGGTTTTTTTTTCCCCCAGTTTGAGAATTAATAATCCTTTTGGGATTACTAGCTAGGTTAAATGATACAGCATTATCAATAATATCAATTCCCTTCTCTCCTTCCAAATGTTTTTTATTTGTAGTCTTAATATTTTATTAATACCACTACTGCTATCTAAAATCTATAATATCACTTTTCTTCTCAGACATATTCTCCAGTTGAAAGTGTTTAATACCTCTACAAAGTGATTTGTAAGTTAAAGAAGTCAAAAATCTCTCTCCTTCTCCCACCACACTGAAAGCTCCATATAAAGGAATAGTTCTACAAAATCATTGATTTCAATAAAACCATTTAGCTGCTTGACTATAATGGAGATAACGCTTTTGGGGTTCAGAGTTTCTGGTTCTATTTTGGCTGTTGCAGTAGTTCGTGGTGTACATAATGTATGCAGTATGTATGTGGTATATAGTTTTCTTCTCTCTCCCAGATTGCACCAGGGCTGCTGAACAATTAAAGAATAATCCACGACACAAGAGTTACCTGGAACAAGTATCCCTGAGGCAGCTAGAGAAGCTATTCAGTTTTTTACAAGGTTACTTGTCGGGGCAGAGCTTGGCAGAAACAATGGAACAGATTCGTCGGGAAACAACCATTGACCCTGAGGAAGATCTGAACAAACTAGATGACAAGGAGCTTGCCAAAAGGAAGAGCATCATGGATGAACTCTTTGAGAAAAATCAGAAGAAGAAGGATGATCCAAATTTTGTTTATGACATTGAAGTTGAATTCCCACAGGACGAACAACTGCAGTCCTGTGGCTGGGACACAGAGTCAGCTGATGAGTTCTGATACCAAACACTCAAAAAATGTATTGGGCTAGCAGAATACCTATATTTATACCAGACTGGTTCTGGAAAAAGCTTTAAAGAATGCTAAATATATATGTTGGGTTATAGGGGATTGAGCATGTTACTTTTCAAAACCAAGACATTTAAAGCATCTGCTATGTAGGTGCATGAGGAATATGGGAAAAACAGAATAAAGGAATCTGTCTTTAAGGAGCTTGCAATCATGCTGGGCACAGTGGCTCATGCCTTAATCCCAGCACTTTGGGAGGCTGAGGCAGGCAGATCACCTGAGGTCAGGAGTTTGAGACCAGCCTGGCCAGGGTGATAAAATCCTGTCTCTACTAAAAATACAAAAATTAGCTGGGCATGGTGGCAGGCACTTGTAATCCCAGCTACTGAAGAGACTGAAGCAGGAGAATCACTTGAACCCTGGAGGTGGAGGTTGCAGTGAGCCAAGATCACACCATTGCACTCCAGCCTGGGCAATAAGAGCAAAATTCCATCTCAAAAAAAAAAAAGCTTACAGTCCATCTAACTGGAAGATATAAAAAACATGAAAAGCTAATTGGCAGTATTAAACAACAAAAAGATTAGAGCCAAATGCATGATAAAGGCTAGAGAAGTTCAGAGCCTATATTAATGTAGAGTAGAAGAGTAAGAGAAGACTGTCCTTTAGTAAAGAGATAGGAGTTGGGCCTGGCCCTTGAAATAGTAGTATTTAGGTAGATGCTTGTGTAGGATTCCAGATAAGAGCAACTGAAAAGAAGGAAAGGAGAGGTAGTAAAGGGATAAGAAGCAGAATTTTTTTTTTTTTTAGAGGAATAAGCAAATTATAGTTTGACAAGATTGGGAGCCATATATGGTTACCAGGGAATTATCTTTTATGTGTTATGTCATTGTATGTATTTAACTCTTGAAAAGAGTACCCCTGCAAAATGCCTTGCAGCTGTAGATGTCACCTGATGGACAAAAGGGGAATTCTGCCCCTCTGGCATTAGGAAATATATACTAAAGACATTGTGAAATGCTGAACCTCTTCCCATAAATAAAGGTTTGTTTGTAAAATGGGAAATCCACCCATAATAAATGAACAATAGGCACTGCCAGTTTAGGCCTATTCGTGACTGGATCTGCAAGAGAGCATCTTCATTTAACAACATTATCTGTGACTTGATACATTTATTCTTATTAGAATATTATTTAATTGGTAGAAATTCTATGTTTTCTACAAGAAAACTGATGCTTATTATATAAAACTATAGTGAAAATAATTACTCACTGTTTCTACCTGTTCACTTCCACTCTCCTTACCATTAAGCACTTCATTATAAGGGAGCTCATTCTTGTAGTGATATCACCAGAGTTTTGAGATAGTACAGTTGCCAAAGAGAGCCAAATAATTTTCTCAATTAGAGATCTTTTCATATCTACATAGTATTTCTTTATTCTATTGTATAGGTAGCTTATTTTTTATTTGAGACAGGGTCTCAACCTCCCGAGTAGCTGAAACTACAGATGCACACCACCACACCTGATTAATTTTTGTATTTTTTTGGTAAAGACAGAGTTTTGCCATGTTGGTCAGACTTCATCTCAAAAAAAAAAGAAAGAAAGATCAGAGTCACAGAAGTCACCTGACAGAGGCAGGTAGGGAGGAAAGGAGGGTCCTTATCTCCCCATCTCCCCTCAATAAAATTCAGGATGCCCAGTGAAGTTTGAATGTCAGATAAACAATTTGTTGGTATACGGATGTATCTAGCATTGAAATGATGCCTTGTAATTTGCTAAATCTGAAACTATGCAACCTTATTTCACAGTGGGCAGTGATGGTGATCCTGGGTTTCAGAGGAAGGGTGCTGGGGGGATCCTGAGGTCAGGAGCCCATACAGCTCTGCTTTTACCCTCTATGCCCTGTACCAGCCACAAGGTAATGATTCCTGTGTAGGTGCAGAGATGGTTCTGGAAGGGGATTCCCAGTGTCTGGCACGTTCTGATGAATTCTGCATTGGAGGTTCTCTCTGTAGTAAGGGGGTTGGCCTGGCCTGAAGTGAAAGCTGACACCTGGTTTCACTTAGCTCTTCAGCTAGTCTGTTCTCTCTGGTGAACATTCAGATCTCAACAAGAAGGTAAAATGAGCCTTCAGGATACCTAAATGCATTTGAAGGAAGGAAAGAGGAGGGGTGGAAGAGGGCTTACATGTGCCCAGCAGAAAGGCCCCTGAGTAGCTGGAGTGAACAGGTGGGGTGAGCTGGTGCTGCTGGCCCAGGAGAAGATGGGAGGGCGGACACAGGGCCTCAGGTGGATGTTAAGGAAGGGGGCAGAATGGAATGTTCTTGCCTCTGGGTCTGCAGAATGCAGAGCTGGGGGCCTGCACCGGGTGTCAGGTCCCCAGCAGGGCAGCAGTGAATGTGGCCTCACTGTTGGGAGAAACTGCCCTGCACACTCACAGGAGCTCAGGTAGCAAGGTGGGGCTGCTCTCAGCTCTACCACTAAGGTCATCCGCAACCTCGAGTAAGCAGGTAGTATCTCTGGGCCTTTGTTCACGTGACAAATGTGATGGTGGGAGATATATTGCATTTCCCTTATGGCTCCTCTTATTTCTGAATCTCTCCTGGTATGTATATAATTTCAAGCCTTCTCATGACTGCTGTTCTGTGTGCACTGGCCAGGCAAGAGGGCTGGTGACCATGTTTCATTAATCATCTTTATTCTGTCTGAAGATTGCTTCTTCATTTTCCCCTCCATTTCCCCCCCATCCAGGCAAAATATCAAACCTCTTCTTTTCTTTTGAGATGGAGCCATAGGAAAATGCAATATATCACCCAGGCTGGAGTGCAATGGCACCATCTCAGCTCACTGCAACCTCCATCTCCCAGGTTCAAGCGATTCTCCTGCCTCAGCCTCCTGAGTAGCTGGGATTATAGGCGCGTGCCACCACGCCCAGCTAATTCTTGTATTTTTAGTAGAGACGGGGTTTCACCATGTTGGTCTGGCTGGTCTCAAACTCCTGACCTCGTGATCTGCCCGCCTCAACCTCCCAAAGTGCTGATATTACAGGTGTGAGCCACCACACCCAGCTAAACCTTTTTTTAAAGGGCCACAGTCAAATGAGTTAACCAAAGATATCAATGCTTTTGTAAAAGATGCCTGTCAGCAAGATGATTAGTAACTCTGTGGGACAGAAGTTACGATTCATATTTCAGTCTCAGTTTAGTCTTCAACTATTCATTCATTCACTCAGCAAATACTTCCTGAGCTCATGGGATGCATCAGGCCGATTGAAGCTGGAGGCAGGGAAACTTCAGCAGAATTACCCTTAATCAAGCTTTTGCTTCTCCCTCTGTGCTGGACTCACTGAAGTTTAATGTTTAGCCACACGTCTATCAAATGTAGAGGCAAAATGAAATTTGAGTTCTTGTCAACAGTTTCTGTGAAAGGCTGGAAGACTTGGCTAAATGGAAGTATTTAAGTAATCTGTGGGTTGCATCTCTATGGAGCTGTGAGCTCCACAGAGCTCCAAGACCACATAGAATTGGAACTGGCTCCTTCTCCCAAGAATACAAAGCAGCCCTCTGGGATGTCCTTCTCTTACTTGCTTCTTCCTTGCTCTCTGTCCACAGGGCTGCCCTTGAGATGGAGTTGTTGCCCTTTTGGCTCTGCCTGGGTTTTCGCTTCTTGACAGTGGACTGGAGGAACAGAAGTGGAACGGCCACAGCAGCTTCCCAAGGGGACTGCAAGTTGGTGAGTTTTCCCTTGAACCCTGATTTGTCAGTTGCTCCTGTCCTGACAAGGTTTGGTCCATTTGGAAAGCTGACGTACTGTCCATCAGGAAGGGCAGAGAATGAAGAAGGCTGAATCACTCTGTGCCTGCCTAGCACAGTGCCATGTGCAGTTGCTCTTTAACCACAGGATTTTAAGATGCTGCCTGAGAAAATCTAGGCAGTCCCTGCCCAACCCTTCTCATATCTGCTGAGGACAGGAGGCATCTGAGACCAGCCTAGGGCAGCCTCCTGGAAAAAGAACAACTTGTTAAAAATCTGGATGATTCAGGATGGGTGCAGTGGCTCATGCCTGTAGTCCCAGCACTTTGGGAGGCTGAGGCAGGCAGATCACTTGAGCCCAGGAGTTCTCTTTCCTAACACCCCTACAATAGGCTGGATCTGCCCCCCACCCCTCAAGCGAGCTGACAGCAACACCAGGACAAGGTTAAATGTTACTAAGCTGACAAAGGATACTCTGCTAGGGAACTGCCCACTGGTTTCTTGATATCAGTCAACTAGAGCTTCACCAGCCACCCCCACAGCCTCAAATCTGATGTCCTAATCAGGGAGTTACAGCTCAGTCTTCCCTTATGATTTCAACATCATAAACCTTTTAGGTCTGTTCAGTTTTAGAAAAATGCATTTATTTGCTTGGGGCTTATTTCAAGTCCAAATACTTAAAAATCTTACTCCTTGCTTGAGCAAATCCCTAAGACATTCACTCATTCAGCAAATATTTATCAAGCTGCTGCTCTGTGCCAGGCAGTAATTAGCTCTGGGGATACATACAAAGCTATATTTTTAATTCATTGGTTGTACTTACAAGTTACTTTAATTTAATGTGCTCCTGAAAGAGGAATCAGTTTCTCTTCCTGTGTCACCCATGCATTTGCCATATAATATAACACAATAGGCCATTTATGTTCTTAATTCCAAAGCTGGATGACACAGAACATCAATTTGCCACATATCCAGTCATCCAACAGACACATAATTCCAGGCTCTGGGATCAGAATCTCAAAGAAACTAGAAAACAAGTAATATGGCCGGGCACAGTGGTTTGCACCTATAATCCCAGCATTTTGAGAGGCCGAAGTGGGTGGATCACCTGAGGTCAGGAGTTCGAGACTAAGCCTAGCCAACATGGTGAATCTCTCTCTCTACTAAAAATACAAAAATTAGCTGGGCTTGATGGCACACGCCTGTAATCTCACTTATTTGGGAGGCTGAGGCAGGAGAATCACTTGAACCTGAAAGGCAGAGGTTGCAGGGAGCTGAGATTGTGCCACTGCACTTAGATGGATCACCTGAGGTCAACCCAATCTGAAATACATTCTACAAAATATCTGACCAGTCCTCTTCAAAACTGTCAAGGTCACGAAACACAAGGAAAGCCTAAGAAAGTAATACCTAAACACAGTGCAGTATTCTGGATCGAATCCTGGAAGAGACAAAGATCGCTGATGAAAATATCTGGTGAAATGTGAGTGAAGTCTGGAGTTTATTAGTAGTGACATATCAGTGTTGATTTCTCAGTTTTGACAAATGTATTGAGTAAACAAATTAGGTGAGAGGTATATGGAAATGTTTTGTACTATTTTCAGAACATTTCTGTGACTGAAATGATTCTAAAATAAAAAAAATTAATAAACTCTCAAGAGGAAAAAAGGAATTACCAATATCAGGAATCAAAATGAGAATATGGATACAAATTCTACAACATTAAGATAATAAGATTTTGTAACTATCTTGGTGCAATAATTTGAATAGTTTAGAAGAAATTAGCAAATTCTTTGGAAAATACAAGTAAATAAATCTGAGACAAGAAGAATAAAATCTGAATAGTCCTATAAGTTGGATTTGTAATTAAAACCTTCCTACAAAGAAAACTCCATATCTAGATGGCTTTGCTAGTGAATTACTCAAAATATTTAAGAAATATTTTGGTTAATGACCAGCCTGACCAACATAATGAAACCCTATCTCTTCTAAAAATACAAAAATTACCCACACATGGTGGCTCATGCCTATAATTCCAACTAACTCATGAGGCTGAGGCAGGAGAATTGCTTGAACCCAGGAGATGGAGGTTGCAATGAGTTGAGATCACACTCTTGCACCCCAGCCTGGGCGGCAGAGCAAGACTCTGTCTACAAAAACAACAACAACAAAAAAAAAAAAAAAAAAGAAAGAAAAAGGTAATATATTCCAGTGTATTTTATGAGGTGGGCAAAATCCTGATATTGAGACTCAAAAACAGACATTGCAAAAAGAGAAAATTGTTGGACAACTTCTTATTTTTTTTTTAATTTTTATTTTTTTCTTTCTTTCTAAAAAAGAAGTACAACTTCTTTAATGAGCTTGGATATAAATATCCTAAACAAAATATTAACAAATCAAATCTGGCAATACACCAGAAAAAGACCACACCTTGCTCAGTAATGCCAGCTTTATTCTAGTAATGCAAGATTAGTATAATATTTGAACATCCATCAGCACAAATTTGACATGAACAGACTAAAAAAAAATCAGATAATCATCTCAATATGCAAAAAAAAGCACCTGAAAAAAATTCATACTTGTTAATGTAACAACACTTAGGAAACCAATAATAGAGAGAAAATTTTTTAATCCACTAAATTGTTTCCATCTGCACCAGGCGCGGTGGCTCATGCTTGCAATCCCAGCAGTCTGGGAGGCCAAGGAGGGTGGATCATGAGGTCAGGAGTTCAAGATCAGCCTAACCCAAGATGGTGAAACCCCATCTCTACTAAAAATACAAAAATTAGCCAAGCATAGTGGCAGGCACCTGTAATCCCAGCTACTCGGGAGGCTGAGGCAGGAGATTTGCTTGAACCTGGGAGGCAGAGGTTGCAGTGAGCCAAGATCATGTCACTGCACTCCAGCCTGGGCGACAGAGTGAGACTCTGTCCCCCCTCCAAAAAAAACTCCATCTGCAAAAAGCCTATAGGTATCATCAAACTTAATGCTAAAATACTGAATACTTTCCACTGACATCAGAAGGATGGCAATGATGTGCAGCATCAACACGAATACTCAACAGTATACTGGAGGTTCTAGCCATTACTAGAAAGAAAGTGGGGAAGGAATAAAAGCTGGAAACAAAAAAACCTGTCATTAATCACAAATACCTTGATATACATAGAAAGTCTGAAAGAATCTGCAAATAAACTGTTAGATTTTATAAATGAATTTAGCACAGTTGTTAGAAAGAAAGTCAGTATACAAAAAGCAACAGTATTTGTTCATGCTTCTACAATCAACTAGAAAATAAGTCTTTAAGACATCATTTATAATAACACCCAGCGATTCCACATTTTTAGCAGCTTTATCGCAATAACCAAAAACTGACAACCACTTAAAAGTCCGTCCACAGAGGGCTGAATAACCAAACTGTAATATATTCATATAAGGGAATACCACACAGCAATACAAAATAAGTTTTTATGCCACAGAGTCAATGAATCTCACTGCCCTATAATGAGCAAAGAGACCAGGTGCCAAAAAGTATATACTGTTTTATTCAATTACATTCAAGATGACAAAAGCAGGTGAAGGTGGTAGAAGTTAGAGTAGTTCATCTTTTGGGGGTTCGGTGTTGACAAGGAAGGGGATGAGGCAGCCTTTTGGAGGTGCTGGAGATGTGTGGTGGTGCTCACAGTGGTGTATATCCAAGTCAACATTCATTGAACTGTACATTTAAAATTGGTGCACTTTGCAGTACCGCCATTGAATAAAAAGAACTGTGGCTCAACAATAGAAACCAATCGAGACAGTGATAATACTGAAGACAGCATATGACGAAAACCTGGACCAAAGCAGGTGAGGGCAGGGATCGTAATATCTGCGACTGATTCTTCAGGACTTAGAATCTCCTTGGAAGGAAAGACACAAGTAAAAGTTACCACCCTATAATGATAAAATAGATTTCTTTGCAATTTTATCTTTTATTTTAAAGGACACTGTTTTTGTTTGTTTATTTGTTTGTTTTTGAGATGGAGTGTTGCTCTGTCACCCAAACTGGAATTCAGTGGCGTGATCTCAGATCACTGCAGCCTCCGCCTCACGGGTTCAAGCGATTTTCCTGCCTCAACTCCCAAGTAGTGGGGATCACAGGTGCCCACCACCAGACCAGGTTAATTTTTGTATTTTGGGTAGAGACGGGGTTTCACCATGCTGGCCAGGCTGGTCTTGAACTCCTGACCTCGTGATCTGCCCACCTCAGCCTCCCAAAGTGCTGGGATTACAGGCGTGAGCCACTGTGCCTGGCCCACTGTTGTTTTAAATATTTGATATCAATGGTTTTCAAAAAGTGAATTGCCTATGTGTTACAGCCTAGCTGGGGAGAACTTGCAGGTCTTGTTAATTAGCAAACACACATTGTGTGGAAAACATGCTACTCTCTGTGAGAAAGCAAAAAAGGAGCCTCAGGAAATGAACCTGTAAATTAAAGAAAGCGGGGAAAGATGTTTCCTCCAGGTAGTGGGAAACCTGGAGAGAGGCTATAGGTGGCTCTTCCCCTATTCCCACATCTCTGGACTTGTCCCTCAAGGAGGAAGGAAGGAAATGCAGATGTATTTGCTGGGGGGATTTTCTCTGAAGCAGGTGGAAGCAAGTCTCAGCCCAGATATGGCCGCATGCACATAATGTTTATTATCGGGCAGGTACAGAAACAGTTTCAAATGTGTTCTGTGGACATGATGAAGCCCCAGATCTCGTACTTTTTAAGTACTGCTCCGTTTCACTTGAAACAAATGAAACACTAGTCTCCAGTGAGGATTCAGCGAGCATCTTGTCAAACTCAAACGGCCAAGACTCTTTTGAAGAGCATTTAGGAGTGAAACCTACAGTGCTATTCTAAGGGTCACTAGGTGTGGGATCCTGGTCCCGCAATGGCAGGGAAAGCTCTTCAGTATTTTCCAGAGAATTCACACATCTTGGACACTGCTAACTTCATCA